TCATTATTGGTGAAAATGTTTCATTATTAAAAAAGCATACTCAAATGCTTTTTCAAGTAATAGAAACAAATATGAAAAATTAAGTGTGGATTTTATGATCTCTACAAGCAATATATTTAATTCTACAAGAGGGTACTTCAAAAAAAAAATCTCATTTATTACCAAGCTAGAGGTGCTTTCACATGCTGTTATTGGTAGACAAACTTTTATTTCACTTTTAAGACGACACTGCATTATTATCAGGGTTTGTTGGTATATGGTTATTAATTTTGTTGGGAGACTTTTCCAAATTAATTGTCGGTATAAATAAAATGCACAGTGAACTTGTAATAATATTCTGTTGTTAATTTCCTCTGCCATTATCTCAAGTCAGAAATCCAGGTTAGGAAAACAACATTGGCTCATAGTGGACTGAGATTGCTGGCTTTGAAAAAATATTCTCAAGTTTTAGGATATGAACGTTTTTAATGAGTGTATACAAAACCAAATTAGTTAATTAATAAGATGACATTGAATTCCTCCACGTATTTCCTTTTGTCAGATTGATTCACTGCATTTTAATAAATTCATCCCTTATCAACATCTTTCAAAAAATTCTTTATTTTTTGTTTCATTTTCTGTTATTGCCACGTGAAGCCTTATGACATCTGTTCTTTTTAGACTACTTTTCTTTTATAAAATATCTGGCTGTAGTCTATGATTTTTGTCCTTGAACTTGAATTTGTGTCATATCAAATTTGCCATCATTATTTCCCTTTGACACTCATTTGCATCTTAAATCTTTTCCACTCACTTATTTTTAATTTTTTGAATGACTTGGTTATAAGAGTGCCTCTCATCAGTTAGAAACCCAGGCTGTCTGCTCTTTGCAGAATATGATGTTAGGGAAAAGTTGTGCATGTGGCAACTGTGTTTTCACTCTGCCCTTAGCAAGGACAGGGTTCCTAAATGCATAACTTTCTGTTGACAAAGTACCGTGCAAAGCACAGACAGCCTGTATCTTCATTTTTTAAAAACCTATCTAAAGCCATTTCTTTTAAAATTTCTTTCTTTTTAAAAAAATTTTTTGAGACAGTCTCACTCTGTTGCCCAGGCTAGAGTACCATGGCTCACAGCACCCTAGCTCACAGCAGCTTCAAACTTCTGGGCTCAAGTGATCCCCCTGCCTCGGTCTCCTGAGTGGCTGCAAAGCCTAGCTGCTAATTTTTCTATTTTTAACAGAGACAGGGTCTCACTCTTGCCCAGGCTGGTCTTGATTGAACTCCTGAACTTAAGTGATCCTCCGACCATGGCCTCCCAGAGTGCTAGGATTACAGGCCTGAACTATCACGTGTGCCCCTCTAAAAGTCATTCCTTTTTAAAAAGAGACTTTTATCAAACTGCTCAACATAGCTTTCATGGCATTTTCTTAGTTACTGTGTTAAGACATTTATATTCTACACCTAGTAAATTTCACATGTACCCTTGTAAGATGCACTGTAGGTGTGGTCTCAGAGCATTTCAGATTGTGTGTAAAACCAGCACATTGTAAAAACCCAGCACATTGTATCCCATGACTGCATTAATGTGCACAGCTATGATTTAATAAAAAAAAAAAAAAGAAAAGAAAAACTGGATGACCAAAAAAAAGACTTTACTTTTTATCTTTTTTTCTACAACCTTAGTCTATATTTTCTGGTTTTTATGTTTTTTTCTTTTTTCCTCTTAACCTTTCATAGAATTTCATTTTCTTGGTTTTTCTGTTTTTGCTTATTGGCTTTGAATAATATCATTGTTCTACAATATTAATATTTAAAGCATAGGAATAATTTCTTTTGTCAAGTAACTATAGTCTAAATTACATACCTCAGTGTGTGGGTATTGATATGTGTTTATATGTATCTGGATATATATGAAAGTTCCATTTAATCATACTTAGATCCTGGCAAGAATATCATTATTTTTTCAAGTCTGTACAAATATAAGAACTAGTAAATGTTATAGTATCACTTGAAGTCATACTTTCTATTTCTGTGACTAGTGATTAGAGGTAGAATTGGAGAATAAGTTTTTAGTTATCTTTGTGTAGAGTCATGTAGCAGTGTGAATAGTACAGCATTTGAAGTCAGAACATCTACCCCAAATTGCTATCACCAACATCAGAAGATTTTCGATTTCAACAAGTCACTGTGTGCAAAGCACCCTTGTTCATTGTCTGCCACATGCTTTAATGGCTGCTTCTCACATGAGTTTGGATCCTGTTGGATCAAGTCCTAAATGTTTTCATTAGGTGGAGTGGAAGCCACATAAGATGGGGCCAGCCATTCCGACTACGCCATGTCACTACAGGAAAATATCTGAGTCTCATGGAAGACAAAACCCTTCTACTCATGGACAAAGAGAAAGCTGATGTGAAATCAACAGCATTTACCTTCCGGTCTTCCAAGGTAAGACAGAAATACTAGTTTGGATTTCTTGCAAGTATATCCTCATCACATTTCCTTTGATGGGGATAACTCCTTGGATGTTAGGAACACAAAAAGAGATGATGGGAGCATATTTTGTATATACCATGTTTCCCTGAAAATAAGACCTACCCAAATAATAAGCCCTAACAGGATTTCTATGCATTTGTTAAATATAAGCCCTACCCCAATAATAAGACCTAGTGATAGGTGTGGCTATACAGATATGCTGCATAATCATGCCTTGCATTTTGGGGCAGAACAGTAAGGAAGACTGGACTACCTTTATCTGCCACAGCTCCGTTCTCTGAGCTGTTCGCATGTGTGGTAACGGGTCACAGGCATCCTATTGCACACGTGCGAACGGCTAGGGGAAAGGAGTTCACGCATCACTAGCGCCAGCCCCACCAACAAGGTTAGCTCCCCCTGTCAGGTTCCAGAAGAAGATGACTTAACTGTATTTGAATAAATGTAGATTGTTGTATTATACTTAATAAAAATAAGACATCCCCTGAAAATAAGCCCTAGTGTGTCTTGAGAAAAAATAAATATAAGACAGTGTCTTATTTTTGGGGAAACATGGTATTTCTAAATTCCCAGTTTCTCTCCCATCCCTTCCTGTCCAAAGCCAATTTCCTAAACCACTAAAACCTGCCCAGGTGTTTGTTTCACTTGGCTCGACATTCTTTGGTTATTTACGTACAACACATCCATCCAGCTCCTTCTTGTTTTCTTAGGCATTGGCAGTGGACAGTTTGTACAGACCTTGTAATGTTGTATAACAGAATGAGGTTAAAGCATACCAGAATACTTTCTGCAAAGATACATTTGTATATCCACTCTTGCATGCAGACCTTTCTTCTTAATTGTCACTGAATAATTTTTATGATAATTGTTTATTTTTTTCATAATTGAATGAAGATTTGTGAAACTTGGGCATAATGAAATCATTTTACTGAACTCCTGAGCAGCTTCTGTCTTAGAAAGGCAGAGCTTTTTCTTCCTGTTATATGTGTGTAAGAGATAAAGGGTTGACTTGATTTGCATTTCTGAGGTTAGAACATACTAATCTGGGGGTGAGCATCTTCAGAGTGTTACTCAGCCTCCACCTTTTTAATTTTTAACTTATTATTTGTTTCAGCTACTAGAAAATTCTAACGGTTCCATTCCCCTTCCTCATATTTTATATTCTGCCTAAATTCAAGTTGGATTTCTGATTGTATTATTAGATGAGAAAAAGATATGGACACTGTGTTTAATAACTTCAGATCAAGGTCATTATCTGGGTTAGTAGGACTATAATATAAACACTCGGATGCTTCTTGGATTATTTTGGATATGGTTTAAATGTATACATTCCCCTTCTCCAGAGATTTATATGTTAGACAAAATTTTCCAATTGTGTTGTAACAAGTAACAAATGATTATTTCCTTAAAAAATAATTAGCTTGTGGTGGGATGTACCTGTAGTCCTGGCTGCTCAGGAAGCTGAGACAGGAGAATTGCTTTAGCCCAGGCATTTGAGGCCATCCTGGGTGATGTTTCTTCTCAACCCCCCCCCAAACCCCCCCCAAGTATTTATTTATTTATTTGTTTATGGTTTATTATTATTATTATTAAGTCATATACATAGATCATGAGTACATTTATGCCTTTGTGAGATTCAATGTGTTGATTATTTGTACAAATTGGAGTGCTTACATCCTACTAATTAACATAGCTTTTACCTCATTTAATCACAGTGTTAAGAGAACTATGAAACTCTGAGAAAAGAAATAGCTGAAGATGTTAACAAATGGAAAAACATACCATGCTCGTGGCTGGGAAGAATCAACATTGTTAAAATGTCCATACTACCCAAAGCGATCTACAGATTTAATGAAATCCCTATTAAAGCACCTATGTCATGCTTTAAAGATCTGGAAAAATTAGTACTTCATTTTACATGGAAACAGAAAAAAACCTTGAATAGCCAAGATATTACTCAGAAATAGAAACAAATCAGGAGGTATCACGCTATTACACTTCAGACTATACTATAAATCTATAGTGATCAAAACAGCATGGTACTGGCACAAAAATAGAGAGGTAGATGTATGGAACAGAATTGAAAACCAAGAAATGAACCCAGACCCTTATTATCATTTGATCTTTGATAAGCCTATCAAAACCAAGTATTTATTGAACTTTAGGGACAGTCCTTAAAGAAAAATAAACTCTTTCCACAAAACCCTTAATAATGTATTTCATATAAATAACATCTAACATACAAGAAAATAGATTTGTTTAGCATAATTGTAATAAATATAAGGATTTATTGAAGTATGGCTTAAATTCCTCTTTAGTCCTTTAATCATATTTCACTTCTGATTTTGAAAGCAATATGTGTTTAGGTTAGAAAGTTTAGAAATTATAGAAAAATGTAGAGGAATAAGAAATCTTTAGTTGCATAAAAAAATTAAATTTTGATAAGTTTTCTTCAAAGAATAAGAAATCTTTAGTTGCATAAAAAAAACTAAATTTTGATGAATTTTCCTTAGCTTTTTTTTTTTAGCTTTAGCTAAATTTTTCTTTCACTTTAGCTTTTTCTCTACTGTGTAAATACACATACAATTGACACTGGAACAACTCAGGGGCTAAGAACCGTTGGCACCTTGTGCAGTTGAAAGTTCACATTTTAGCCCCCCCAGAATAACTACTGACAGCCCACTATTGACTAGGAGCCTTACTGATCACAGAAACTCAATTTACACATACTTTTTAAAATATATATTATATACTATACTCTCATGATAAGTATAAAAATAGAGTTGAAGACACTATATTTGTGTTCTCAATACATACAAATAGGGTAAATCACAATTAAAAAAATATTTTCATATTGGGTCATGAAGAATAAATGATGTTGACATTAACAGACACACCTAAAACAACTTTATTTGGAAAGGTTGGAAAGAAAGGGATGGCTAGTGCACTACTAGGAAAACACTAAGAAAAAAGGACAAAGGGCATCTGATCTTAATATCAGATAAGATGGAATTCAGGCAAAAGAAAGCACAGCATGAGACAAAAAAGGAAAGGGTACTTCATAGTATTAAACAGCATAAGTTGCTGAAGATGTAACAGCATTTTTGATTTATTTCTCCAGGATAGATTCCTAGGAATGGAAATAGTATCTCAGAAACCATGAATATTTTTGAATGCTCTTGATTCATATTGCCCAAAGCAGTAGCTTTTGAAACATTCTTCTCCAGATATCTCCCCTTGTACCCTGTCAGTGTTAGAGTAGAACTTGCATTTGAAGACTTTCTACTGTCCAGATCCTACTGTGATTTCTGTTTCTGAAATTTGAGAGTTATATAATGTCATACATGGCTTATACTGGCGGTAAAGAGACCAAAAATATCAACATTTTTTTAAATGAGTGATTCAGTTTCTCTAAAGCTCCTTTCCTGCCTGGTTCTCAGGTTCACAGACCCACTCCCGTGTGCAGGTTGTTAATAATTAGTGTCACACCCTTGGCTTACTTCATTCATGATGGTAATTTTACTTGATGACATGGTTGAGGGTAGTGAAGGTGGAGATGAAATTTGGAGAAATCCTTTGTTCTTAAATCACAGTAGAATTTTAATTTAAATGTCACTGACAAATTAACTAATAATTTTTTGATGAAATAGAGATAATACCACCTATTATTTCCTTTAAAAATGACTGTTCCTCACTATATATGTAATACATAGTCATTATGGGAAAACTTAAGGGTAATAGTAAAAATGCAGAAAGAAAATGAAATTCATGTGCAGTCTATCACTCAAAACACTGCACATTTCAATCTTTGGCAAATATATACATACTTTGATGATGTCAAATTAGGTTAATTACATACATTCTGTTGTGTCTTTTACTTAATAATATATGATGTGTTATTGCAATCCTTCATTTCATAGAATTTTGACAATAATTCTCTTTCTTTCTTCTTTTCCTTTCCTTTTCTCTTTCCTTTCCTCTTCCCTCTCTTTTCCTTTTCTTTCCTTTCTTTCTTGACAGAGTCTAATTGTTGCCCTGGGTAGAGTGCTGTGGCAGCATAGCTCACAGCAACCTCAAATTCCAGGGCTCAAGTGATCTATTTTCCTCACTCTCCCAAGTAGCTGGGACTATAGGCACCTGCCTCAATGCCTGTCTCATTTTTTTCTATTTTTAGTAGAGATGGAGTCTTAACTCTTGCTCAGGCTAATCTCAAACTTGTCAGCTCAACCAATCCACCTACCTTGGCCTCCCAGAGCACTAGGGAACTTAGCCAATAATCCAACATTCTGTTCTATGTAGATTTACCACAGTTTTTATTCAACTACTTTATTATGTTTGGATATTTAGCTCATTTTCCAATTTTTACTCATAAGCTGAATATTTTTGTCTTTAAATATATATATATATATATGTATTTTTTTTTTTTTCCAGTTTTAGCCAAGGCTGGGCTTGAACCTACCACCCCCAGTATATGGGGCCAACACCCTACTCCTTGAGCCACAGGCACCGCCCTTTAAATATTTTTACATATCACTAATTACTGCCTTTTTGGAAGTTAAAACTGGCCCAAGAATATTCAGATTTTAAAGGTTTTTGATACTGTGAAAGGGTGGAGGATGTATTGGTTTGGGGCACCCGGGCACACTGCCTGATGCTACTGGGAACTGGGACTGTCCCTAGTGAGTGAACGCCCATAGCCAAAGCACTCTTTAGAAATTTGCACCAGTATTCGTCTGAGCAGCAGGGCATGAGGGTTTATGTTTCTGTGCAGCCATCAACAGATAATTTTTAGAGGTCTTTGCTAATGTCTATAGATAAAAATCAATCATATCCTATTGTATAGTCTATAGACAAGTTCATTTCTTTTACTGTAAAATGGATATCATTTTATAGGCAGATTATGATGTTTGTAGTATTCTAGGGAATGAAAGAAATTCCACAGTAAGCTGTGTTTG